AATAATTAGCAATTGTAAATTACCAGTGAATGATTACAGATCATCAAAGAAATACTATGATGAGATGTGATATGTACGTATATTCTGCTCAAAATATATATGTTTTCTTGCGTTGGGACATAAAGCATTTTTAAAGTTTTTCCAGTTAATCTTCATGTTTTCTTGTTTATATCTTAAATAAAGTTTTTTCACCTTAGAAAAATATAGTTCCTGTAAAAGTAACAGTGATCAGAGAACTGTTTTCAGCTAGTCATTCCAAGTCTCATCAGGTTCTGTTTCTAATTGTGTCATTTCCTTTCATAGTAAGGTGATTGAAACTCCCTTTTTTTTTAAAGTGAAATATTCTGAACCAATGTCTGGGAGCTTTTATTAGCTGAAATGCATCACAAACAGTAACAAGGTCTCCAAGGACCACTTTTCTTGCAAGCTGTGTAGTCATATTTCCTCATTAGTTCATTTCAGTTGTCACTAATGCCATGTTCCAGGCTTTTGCAAGATAGTCCAAAATGTAAAAACCATGTATGCATATAGAATAGACAATTATTTCCCATAATTCAAATTTCTTTTGACTCAATTTGATAGCATGTATTTTACAGTTTCATTAACATATATTTTATCCAATAGATAAATACTAAGCATTTGGAAGACTTCTCAGAATAATGGACAAATTGTAATGAAAAATGGATCCCTTTTAAATTATTTTTAAATACATATTTAGCATTTAAATTTTGCATATACATATACATATCAAAAAGCCATACATTTTAAGATACTTAACATTAAAATATATTGAGCATTGAGAATAATTTGTGACAATTGTTGTTGTTAGTTGCGAAGTCGTGTCCGACCCATCGCAACCCCATGGACAACATTCCTCCAGGCCTTCCTATCCTCTACCATCTTCTGGAGTCCATTTAAGCACACGCCTACTGCTTCAGTGACTCCATCCAGCCACCTCATTCTCTGTCGTCCCCTTCTTTTATTGCCCTCAATCTTTCCCAGCACTAGGCTCTTCTCCAGTGAGTCCTTCTCATTAGGTGGCCAAAGTACTTGAGTTTCAACTTCAGGATCTGGCCTTCTAAAGAGCAGTCAGGGTTGATCTCCTCTAGGACTGACCGGTTTGATCTCCTTGCAGTCCAGGGGACTCGAAGGAGTCTTCTCCAGCACCATAGTTCAAAGGCCTCAATTCTTTTGCGCTCAGCCTTTCTTATGGTCCAACTTTCACAGCCATACATTGCAACTGGGAAAACCATGGCCTTGACTATACGTACTTTTGTTGGCAGGGTGATGTCTCTGCTTTTTAGTATGCTGTCTAGATTTGCCATAGCTTTCCACCCCAGGAGCAAGCGTCTTTTAATTTCTTGGCTGCAGTCCCCAGGAAGATAAAATCTGTCACTACCTCCATTTCTTCCCCATCTATTTGCCAGGAATTGAGAGGCCGGATGCCATGATCTTGGTTTTCTTAATGTTGAGTTTCAAGCCAACTTTTGCACTATCCTTCTTCACCCGCATCAAGAGGCTCTTTAGTTCCTCTTCTTTTTCTGCCATTAGAGTGGTATCATCTGCATATCTTAGGTTGTTGATATTTCTCCCGGCAATCTTAATTCCAACTTTTGATTCATCTATCCCTGCCTTTCTCATGATGTGCTCTGCGTATATGTTAAATAGGCAGGGCGACAGAATACAGCCTTGCCGGGCTCCTTTCCCAATTTTGAACCGATCAGTGGTTCCATGTCCAGTTCTCACTGTTGCTTCTTGACCAGCATATAGGTTTCTCAAGAGACAGATAAGATGGTCTGGTATTCCCATCTCTTTAAGAACTTGCCACAATTTGTTGTGATCCACACAATCAAAGGCTTTAGCATAGTCAATGAAGCAGAAGTAGATGTTTTTCTGGAATGGCCTAGCTTTCTCCATGATCCAGCGTATGTTGGCAATTTGATCTCTAGTTCCTCTGCCTCTTTGAAATCCTGCCTGTACTTCTGGAAATTTTCGATCCACGTACTGCTGGAGTCTAGCTTGTAGAATTTTAAGCATAACTTTACTTGCATATGAAATGAGTGCAATGGTGCAATAGTTGGAACATTCTTTGGCATTGCCTTTCTTTGGAATTGGAATGTAAACTGACCTTTTCCAATCCTGTGGCCACTGTTGAGTTTTCCAAATTTGCTGGCAAATTGAGTGTAGCACTTTTATTGCATCGTCTTTTAAGATTTTGAATAGCTCAGCTGGAATACTGTCACCTCCACTAGCTTTGTTGTTGCTCAGCTTTCCTAGGGCCCATTTCACTTCACATTCTAGGATGTCTGGCTTGAGGTCAGTGACCACCCCATCGTGGTTATCAGGGACAGTATAGTTCTTCTGTGTAATTTTGCCACCTCTTCTTAATCTCTTCTGCCTCTGTTAGGACCCTGCCATTTTGGTCCTCTATCATGCCCATCTTTGCATGAAATGTTCCCTTCATATCTCCAATTTTCTTGAAGAGATCTCTGGTTCTCCCTATTCTGTTGTTTTCTTCTATTTCTTTGCACTGTTCATTTAAGAGGGCATTCTTATCTCTTCTAACTATTCTCTGGAATTCTGCATTCAATTGGGTGTATCTTTCTCTTTCTCCCTTGCCTTTCGCTTCCCTTCTTTCCTCAGCTATTTGCAAAGCTTCCTCAGACAGCCATTTTGCTTTCTTGCATTTCTTTTTCTTTGGGATGGTTTTAGTTGCTACCTCTTGTACAATGTTGCGAAGCTCCGTCCATAGTTCTTCAGGCACTCTGTCTATCAGATCTAATTCCTTAAATCTATTTGTCACCTCTACTGTATATTCATCAGGGATATAATTTAGTTCGTACCTCAGTGGCCTAGTGTTTTCCCCTACTTTCTTCAATTTAAGCCTAAATTTTGCAACGAGAAGCTCATGATCTGAGCCATAGTCAGCTCCTGGTCTTGTTTTTACTGATTGTATAGAGCGTCTCCATCTTTGGCTGCAGAGCACACAGTCAATCTGATTTCTGTGTTGACCGTCTGGTGATGTCCATGTGTAGAGCCGTCTCTTCGGTTATTGGAAAAGAGTGTTTGCTATGACCATTGTATTCTCTTGACAAAATTCTATCAGCCTGTGCCCTGCTACATTTTGTACTCCAAGGCCAAACTTGCCTGTTATTCCGGTTATCTTTTGGCTTCCTACTTTAGCATCATTTTTTGGTATTGATTCTATAAGGTGCTGCAGGACTTCATAGAACTGGTCAATTTAATCCTCTTCAGCACCAGTGGTTGGGGCATAGACTTGGGACTACTGTGATATTGAATAGTTTGCCTTGGATTCGCACTGAGGTCATTCTGTCATTTTGGGGATTGTATCCCAGTATTGTTTTTCCTACTCTTTTATTATGAAGGCTACTCCATTTCTTCGGAGAGATTCTTGCCCGCAGTAGTATATCTGATGGTCCTCTGAATTAAATTCACCCATTCCTGTCCATTTTAGTTCACTGATTCCTAAGATGTCGATGTTCAGTCTTGTCATCTCTTGTTTGACCACGTCTAGTTTGCCTTGATTCATGGATCTTACATTCCAGGTTCCTATGGAGAAAAGATCTTTACAGCATCAGACTTTCCTTTCACCACCAGATGCATCCACAGCTAAGTGTCCTTTCGGCTTTGGCCCAGTCGCTTCACTCTTTCTGGCACTACTAGTACTAGCCCTCTGCTCTTCCGCAGTAGCATATTGGACACCTTCCGACCTGCGGGGCTCATCTTCCAGCATCATATCTTTTTGCCTTTTGGTACTGTCCATGGGGTTTTCATGGCAAAGATACTGGAGTGGTTTGCCATTTCCTTCTCCAGTGGATTTGTAAAACAGTCTTGAGAGACGATACTGGACAGGCAAAACCCACCGGGACATGTCGTATCGAGCATCGAAGTAACACAATGCGTTCGGGGAAGCGGTCCTGTTCCGTCATTAGGTACTTCCTCAAACACTGTTATGTATTGTCATAAGGGACGAAAGTGAAAAAATTCCGAACAACAAATGTCATATACGGAATGAAATATACAATGACTAGATATCAGTTGACATCAGTAAGGTTAGAGGTAAAGTATAGGTAAAAAGCAGTGCAGTGCGGTTCACAGTATATATAGTATTGGTAATTTGTTCTCTTTACATTGAATGGTACATGTTTCTGTCTCAAATTTTTATGAAGCTCTTACAGTAGATAATATAATTTGGTCTATTCTCTACCTATATCCATTTAATAATAGAAAAACAATTCTGTGTTATTGGTATGATTTTTGGGATAATAAATATAAACATAGAAGACACTAATTAATGAAAATTGTTGCCTGTTTTGGATTGTAAACCAATAAACCAATAACACAAAATAAAATGCTAAAATTGTTTAAATGTATAGTTTTGTTTATTCCTCTCATATATTTGAACAAAATAATGTAAAATTCAGATTTAGTAATCAACAAAATAATTAAAACCAAAATATTTTTTCCAATTAATATATTCTTCTGCAAGTAAACGTATTTCAGCCCTAATGTTTACTGACATCAGTAAAACTGACTCAGGCATACAGGAAAAAATAAGAGTATCCAAATTTATAGTGGTAGCTCCTGCAAGATAATCTGATTAAATTAAAATATAATAGTATTTCAAAATGAAAACAATTCTGAGGGTCAATTTTTAAAAAAATTGAAGTGCAAATAGTAAGATATTATTAAACATTTTGTTGCCAATTTGGAATTATTTCTTTTATATCTTGTAATTAAAAATAAAATGAGATAGAAAACATTTTATTGAATATTTTAAAATATGTTAACTTTTTTGAATTCAGACTAAAAAATAGAGAAGTTATATATTTTGAAATATATAAGAATGTATTCACATTAAGCTAAAGTTCTAATTTCATCTATTAGTCAATTACATTCGAAAGTCTAGTAGCCACTGGATTTTCAGTCTTATAAAATCTATACAAACATTGTTTAATCTAGATTTATATGTATTGCAGATGTGTGGAGGTCATTGCTAAAGAAGGACAGAATTTGAAAGAACTTTATTTGGTATCATGTAAGATCACAGATTATGGTATGTAATTTTTTCCCTTACTTTTTTCCCTGGATATATAGAATAAATAGTGACTTTGGTGGATGCAGGTCATGGGACATAAATGACGTCAGATAGGATGTACTAGAGGTAATGATGCCCCATTTTAAATTGTGTTTTCTTCTATAGCCTAGAAGCCAACTTATTCATTCAGCTAGTGCTTTAAATGCCCCAATTAGATGTTAGGCTAGAGTGGCAGGCAACCTGATAAACAGTCAGAGGAGATTTGGGACTTTTTGGATGTTCCCTGTACTATGCCTCCTTTAGAACCTTGAAGCACTTCTGAAAATTAATCTGGACAACCCCTGATCTTTGGATCATTGTTTCAGAGATATTCTCTTAAAAGAGAAACAAATGACTGAGGGTGGGCAAAAAAAAGGAGTGCGAACAGGACTGACTTCCTGCTAGCTTTCCTCTTAATTTCTCCTTATGGGAATCTAGCAGGGAGTATTAGAAATCTTCTGCCCTGCCCTGCCCCGCCCTGGAAGCAGATAAGTGGCAGCTGCTGGGTCGGGGAAAGAGGGAGGAATTGTGAGTCTGGCTGGGAAATTATCACAGTATGTTTAAAATGAAGATCACATGGCTGCAGCAGCAGTGCAGCAGTAGCCAGTAGCACTGAAACAGCCACAACTTCCCCAAATTTCATTCTTCTGGGTGTCATTCCCAGAACTTGGACACATTCTGTTTGTTAGCCAATTTGAAGCACCTTGGTTCAAAAATTGTTGTCCTATATAATGCACCATTTGCCCAGTTAAAAGTCGTGACAAAATGAGTTTTAGTAGTATTGATACAGTCAACATTTAAATTTATTAAAACCTTCTGTATGATTTATTAAACTTAAAATAGTTTTAAATTTTGATATTTTAAATAATATTAAATACTGAAATGTCAATGTTTTCTTTTCAAACATGGAATATGTAATTTTGAAGGGAAAACAATGAGCATGATATGTTTAGTTAGAGTAGGCAGTATGTTTGGGTTTCCAAGTGAATAGGCAAATTATGATTTGAAGCTGCATGGTTCATTATAGTTTCCCTCCTTTTAGTACTGATTTATCCATTTAAATCTCATGCTTTATTATTATAAAACTCGCTTAATGATCATGTGATGTTGTGGCTAAATGTGAACCATTGTTTCAATAAATCAGATTCCATAATCTAGTAGATATTAGGGGTTCTTATTTTGGTAGCTTCCAGCATCACATAGCAATTTTCAATAGAAAGTAGGGCAGGATGCCATTTTAGATATGTGTTTATTTATAAAACTAAATATTATTATGATATACTCAGCTTCCAGATAATAAGTAATAAGAGAAAAGAGATTAGGCTGCTACATGGTTTCCTGGTTTGTAATATTACATATAGTTTATATAAGTAACTGATATGAAGAAAAACAATGTGAAATGTGGAATTTTACAGATAGGCCTAAGGCAAAGAATCTCATAGGTAATTAT